AGTCTATATGCATAATTTAACATTTTCAGGACACGGAATAAGATTTCCCAATGCATTTTCAAAATTACCTTTCTTTTTTCTAATTTGCTTTTGTTTGGAAAATGATTAATGAGTAAATTTCATTATAATTAATTATTATATCTTTTTTTTAAAACAAAAAAAACTTAAATAATTAATTCTATAATAATGAAGCATATACTTTAAATAACTTCCATCGTTAAATAATCTGGAATTGATTCAATAATCATATAAATATATAGGTTGATAATGATGAGACTATAATTTATGGAAGATCTTCGAGAGACGCAGAAGTGACCTTGGGAATGGATATCGACTGATTAGGACTAAATGAGGATTATAAATCAGTTAGAATTATGATTTACACTTGATGGTTAAAGTAAAGAATTAGATTTAAAGTTTTTCATCACGAACTGACATCAGCTATAATGCTAAAACTTTATTTAACCAAAGGTATGAATGAATTTAGCGCCAAAATCCAAAACTTACTATCTCATATCTGATTGCTTTGTTCATAAATTATAGTTTCTCTGTTGATATTGTTTCTTGCATGTTATGTAAATAAAAAAATATCCGCCATTCCAAATATACAACATTTGAAAATTGTTAAATTAATTGCTTGATTTAAAAATTGTGGCTTCTTATCTGACTCCAATCGAATCGTATAAATGATCGTTATTGAAATAAACATTTTGATCATTCTCGTCTATAATTATCAACTTATATCACATTAGTGAATAACGGAATTAAATAAGTTAAATACGAGAATCAAGTTTTGAATACGTAAATTTTGTACGCTCATTGATCTGGACAGACGATCAGTGAGACGAAGCAAAGAGAAGAAAGAGAAGTGAAATGACACTCAGTGAAGTGAGATAGTGTTAAGTCTTTTGATATTGTCAGTTGATTGTTAATTTTCACCACAGTTGATATCCTCAAAATAAATAGCTCTGTAAGTCTTTGACATTGGATGCTGACCATATTAGTTTTAATCGACTCAACTAGCTGAAGGCGCTCGGTGATGCATCCGCACCAGATAACGAGTTGTAACACCATGCTCAACAACCCCTGCAATCGCTAACCAGCCTATTTCAGTCGATCCACGATATAATAATAACCTGTCAAATGTATCCTCGAACCTGTTCGCTTTTGTCTTTTGATTTCACTTGGTAGGTACGATTCATATTAGGTGTTACTAGTTAAAATGTTGTCAAACTCCAAATACCTGTGGCATCTTCATGTTTAACACCAGGAATCACTAAATAATTACTTTATCTTAGTCTGAAAATCCTTGGCAGTGTGCATTAATGACCACATAACGAATAGAATTCAAGGCATACAGACTTCATTGTTAGCGAAAAATTCTTAAACCACTGAGTCGGTCTCAAATGGATCGTGTTTTTAACGTCAGGTAACTTTAATCTCAAATGGTAAGTTTCTTCAAATTATTGTGATATTCATTAATCTTAATGATGAGTTTTGTTACAAACAATAACACACATAGTAATAAACTCATAATAACAATTAACCTAATGAGAAACAAGTTTTTTTACATAATACACTATAGAACTGAAAACATTTAGAAATTTTCACGGAATGGTTACCTTTAATGTATGAATATTACTTATATAGAACCATTTTTTATATTTACACATAAATATTGGTACAAGGGGGCACCAAATATATATGCGCCACACAAAACAACGAGAATAGCAAGAGAAAAAAGGTAAGGTGCGTATAAGGAAAAAAAGAACAATAACGACCACAGGTTAGTGTGAGGTAGTGTAATAATAATAATATGAATTGTTTGACTGTTAATCGAAGTGTGAATAGAATTTTCAGTAAATAACGTCATTTTCATTTTATTTGTGTGTGGGTTGTGATACTGTCCGGGTGCCCAAACCGAAGCAGGTGGTCTTCTTAGGGGGCTACACCCCGAGCCTTTGACCTAAAGGTCTGACCCACAAGGCAGTGGAGCATCGTGAGGAGATTCAGTCCCATGGTAGCCGGTGACCAACAATTGGTTCATACGCCATTTGTTCCCTCAGGGCACTGGAGCTCATGTGCACCATTGGTTTGGAATTCGGTTAAAACGCTGAACATTCTCTTTTCGTTCTCTCACTTTCGTAAACAACACCTCCGTCACGAGAAGGCACTGTGTAGGACTTCCCTGGCAGAGGCTGTATAAGTGTGGCCGTGTGAGAGCATTTCGAGAGGGAGGGCGGGCCCATCCCACTCTCGGCCATATAAGGGCATTTAAGCGCGTTATAGAACTAACATTTATCTTAAGCAGGTTACAGTTATAAGAAGATAAACAAGAACAAACATTAAAGATTATTTAATTTTGCTGAAATAATATACGGTTGTTCAAAAGAAAATAATCAAAAAGAATCACATTTAAACTGACCTTATCACCTAATTAAGAAAAAGGATAAAATTCCCTATTCATATGTAATTTGATATTTGGAATAACAAAGAAAATTATATTTATTAGTGAATTCATTTTAAAAATATATATAAGTGAATAAGAAAATAAAGATACCGTATTCTCGTTACGTTCTTACATATATAAGTATTTATTGTCTAAGATTAGTTTGTAAAATGAGTAAATTTGTTAGGTAGTTGACAGCATCACAAAGATTCAATCTGAGGGAGTCCATCTGAGCATTATTTTTGGCTTCAAATGATTTGTATGGTTGAAATAGTTATGATTGATTGATCACCGAATACTGACCAATATTGGTCATAATCTGCATTGTTTAGTAGTTACGTCTCAAGCTACAAACATTGATGAAACGGGTTCGAACCTATCAGGGGATATAAGTTCTCTCAAGATTACAGCTATATCTTGCTGATGAGAAACAAATATCACGAAATCTGGAACAGGCAGAATTTCCTGTAATAGTTTTGTTCCCAAACTATCAGTAATTAAATATACGAAGTAATGACTGACTATGAATTAACACAACCATGTAAACTTATCCCTAAAAACTTCCCACAAATAACTTGTTATTTTAGGTAGCTGAGGATACATTTTTCATATTGTGTTTGGACGAACTGTTCAAGGTGAAATTAAATTTGATATTTTATTGACTTAGATGGTGCGAACATAAGACTATTTTTTTCTTACAACACACCATATTACTAAGAAGTTAACTTGATATTATGACTATGATTAGCAGGACTGAAAAAATTATCGCAAATATAATAAATATTTTTTCTTATATCCCAATGAGTAGAAAAATTGTATTTCTGACGTTTCGTGACTTAATGTAAGTCATTTTTTTAGTGTGAATAAAAAAGCTCATTGCGATATAACAGAAAATATATTTACCATTAATTCACTACCCAATGCTCAATTTACTTAAAACTATTAAATCCAACATTGGTACTAATACTGTAGTGAACGAGGACACAAATAGGGCACAATTCAATATATTTCAACACAAAATTACAGAACATATTAGTAAAATCTGATAACCATACAGTAAATACTTCATTTGCAAAATGTCAACTAATTGTCACAAACTTGACTGTTTCTTTTGCAAATATCAGTCATTCGTCTCAGACTTCATTGTTCTTGCATTTCCATACAGACCGCTTTCTATTCCTGATCTTTCTTTTCCGACCTTTTGCTGCTAGATAATCTATTCTAGATTACCGTTATATACTACTTATGTTGATATAAGTAGTACACACCACAATATCACTAACATAGTATTATTTTATAACAATCTTTAATGAATGTAGAATCGCGTTGAAATAATATAACTGATCAATATTCACATTAAAAGTGTAATTATAACCTAGAGAATTGAACTGAGTTAAAAAAAAGAAATCTGTTAGTTTGTATTACTTTTGAAAATGTAACTTATATGTTAATTTTAATTTTTTTCATTAAATCAATGAACATTTAAAGCGATCATACAAATATCATGATTGTTCGTTCAAAACTCGTTCACTATATATATAAATTTTATCAGCATAAACAAAATTTTATTAAAATTAAGCAAAATTGAACATTTAATAGTTAAATTCATGAGTCAGTTGAAGCTAGATCACCATGGAAAACATGGAAGAACTGGACGGCTGTTTGGTCCGTGTATGGGACTATTCAACAGAGTGCATCCACGATCCCGCCTCGCGAGATTCAAACCCAGGACTCACTAGTCCCGCGCTCGAGCGCTTAACCACCAGTTCACTAAAATTAAACATAATTTAATAAAATAGAAATGGTTTTGTATTAGATATTTTATATTTTAATAATGTACAATCTATGACTGAAATAAATGTTTGTATGTATCAGGCATGAAATATTTTGTGTGGTGTTATTGACCATTTTTAACACCCTAAATTGAATAATCAAAAATCAATCACTTTTCTTGAAAACGTTCTCTCATATCGATAGCAATTTATAGCAAGCGATCAGACTAATAATCCTATAATAGGCAGGAGCTATAACTTTATGAAATGAAAAACTGAGGCTATACTTTCAGAAGAAAGATGTTTAGCCTCCCTTTATACTCTTATCAACTTTTAAATTAACATGTAAACCATTATTTTATTTGTAAAATGAATTTTACAAATGTATACATCCTGATTTATATTTTTATAATTTAAATTTAACTGAGTAAAAAACAGTAATTGTATCTTAGATACTAATCTTCTATTTAATTCAAAGTTCATCAATTGTTACGTAATCTCCGATGAAATACTTTATAATGTAACTATAATTTTCTTTCATTTTTACAAACCTACGTCTCTTATATAGATTTCAACTATTCTAGTAATGTTATCTAATTTAAGTAACTTTTACATACTAGTTATTTCACTATTTACAAAGGCTAACAAATTTAATTTGTTAGTCGTCCTAGTCTCATAACCTTTATTTTCAAATATATGAACTTGCCTTTGATTTGTTTGATTTTTTTCGATCATTGAGCCTGAATTGATAATATGACAGTTCAGTGAAATATATTTGATTAGGTAAATAATTTTGAATATAAAATTTGTGAAATTGATACAAAATTCGAATTTACTGATGATGATGATGATGATGATGATGATGATGATGATGATGATGATGATGATGATGATGATGATGATGATGATGATGATGATGATGATGATGATGATGATGATGATGATGATGATGATGATGATGATGATGATGATGATGATGATGATGATGATGATGATGATGATGATGATGATGATGATGATGATGATGATGATGATGATGATGATGATGATGATGATGATGATGATGATGATGATGATGATGATGATGATGATGATGATGATGATGATGATGATGATGATGATGATGATGATGATGATGATGATGATGATGATGATGATGATGATGATGATGATGATGATGATGATGATGATGATGATGATGATGATGATGATGATGATGATGATGATGATGATGATGATGATGATGATGATGATGATGATGATGATGATGATGATGATGATGATGATGATGATGATGATGATGATGATGATGATGATGATGATGATGATGATGATGATGATGATGATGATGATGATGATGATGATGATGATGATGATGATGATGATGATGATGATGATGATGATGATGATGATGATGATGATGATGATGATGATGATGATGATGATGATGATGATGATGATGATGATGATGATGATGATGATGATGATGATGATGATGATGATGATGATGATGATGATGATGATGATGATGATGATGATGATGATGATGATGATGATGATGATGATGATGATGATGATGATGATGATGATGATGATGATGATGATGATGATGATGATGATGATGATGATGATGATGATGATGATGATGATGATGATGATGATGATGATGATGATGATGATGATGATGATGATGATGATGATGATGATGATGATGATGATGATGATGATGATGATGATGATGATGATGATGATGATGATGATGATGATGATGATGATGATGATGATGATGATGATGATGATGATGATGATGATGATGATGATGATGATGATGATGATGATGATGATGATGATGATGATGATGATGATGATGATGATGATGATGATGATGATGATGATGATGATGATGATGATGATGATGATGATGATGATGATGATGATGATGATGATGATGATGATGATGATGATGATGATGATGATGATGATGATGATGATGATGATGATGATGATGATGATGATGATGATGATGATGATGATGATGATGATGATGATGATGATGATGATGATGATGATGATGATGATGATGATGATGATGATGATGATGATGATGATGATGATGATGATGATGATGATGATGATGATGATGATGATGATGATGATGATGATGATGATGATGATGATGATGATGATGATGATGATGATGATGATGATGATGATGATGATGATGATGATGATGATGATGATGATGATGATGATGATGATGATGATGATGATGATGATGATGATGATGATGATGATGATGATGATGATGATGATGATGATGATGATGATGATGATGATGATGATGATGATGATGATGATGATGATGATGATGATGATGATGATGATGATGATGATGATGATGATGATGATGATGATGATGATGATGATGATGATGATGATGATGATGATGATGATGATGATGATGATGATGATGATGATGATGATGATGATGATGATGATGATGATGATGATGATGATGATGATGATGATGATGATGATGATGATGATGATGATGATGATGATGATGATGATGATGATGATGATGATGATGATGATGATGATGATGATGATGATGATGATGATGATGATGATGATGATGATGATGATGATGATGATGATGATGATGATGATGATGATGATGATGATGATGATGATGATGATGATGATGATGATGATGATGATGATGATGATGATGATGATGATGATGATGATGATGATGATGATGATGATGATGATGATGATGATGATGATGATGATGATGATGATGATGATGATGATGATGATGATGATGATGATGATGATGATGATGATGATGATGATGATGATGATGATGATGATGATGATGATGATGATGATGATGATGATGATGATGATGATGATGATGATGATGATGATGATGATGATGATGATGATGATGATGATGATGATGATGATGATGATGATGATGATGATGATGATGATGATGATGATGATGATGATGATGATGATGATGATGATGATGATGATGATGATGATGATGATGATGATGATGATGATGATGATGATGATGATGATGATGATGATGATGATGATGATGATGATGATGATGATGATGATGATGATGATGATGATGATGATGATGATGATGATGATGATGATGATGATGATGATGATGATGATGATGATGATGATGATGATGATGATGATGATGATGATGATGATGATGATGATGATGATGATGATGATGATGATGATGATGATGATGATGATGATGATGATGATGATGATGATGATGATGATGATGATGATGATGATGATGATGATGATGATGATGATGATGATGATGATGATGATGATGATGATGATGATGATGATGATGATGATGATGATGATGATGATGATGATGATGATGATGATGATGATGATGATGATGATGATGATGATGATGATGATGATGATGATGATGATGATGATGATGATGATGATGATGATGATGATGATGATGATGATGATGATGATGATGATGATGATGATGATGATGATGATGATGATGATGATGATGATGATGATGATGATGATGATGATGATGATGATGATGATGATGATGATGATGATGATGATGATGATGATGATGATGATGATGATGATGATGATGATGATGATGATGATGATGATGATGATGATGATGATGATGATGATGATGATGATGATGATGATGATGATGATGATGATGATGATGATGATGATGATGATGATGATGATGATGATGATGATGATGATGATGATGATGATGATGATGATGATGATGATGATGATGATGATGATGATGATGATGATGATGATGATGATGATGATGATGATGATGATGATGATGATGATGATGATGATGATGATGATGATGATGATGATGATGATGATGATGATGATGATGATGATGATGATGATGATGATGATGATGATGATGATGATGATGATGATGATGATGATGATGATGATGATGATGATGATGATGATGATGATGATGATGATGATGATGATGATGATGATGATGATGATGATGATGTTAACGGATTACTTCATTCAACAGTAATTATAACAACTTTTTTAAACATATGTTGAACAGTTTTCGTATCTTTGCCTTTAAATATTGCTTCTCTAATATAGACTAAAAATGTATGCTTTATCTCAAATAATCGTATGAATTAAGTTTACTGATTTCACTAAACGTATTCGTTCAAACATTGATTATCATGTTGAAGTTTTCGAATACTCTTTAATAGCTAGTGATATAAATAGAAATTTTTTTCGAATTAGTGATTAGAACGATGTTCCATTTAATCGAATGCTAATATATTGACAAACTGGCAAATGGATAGTTTAGTCTACTTGACAACTGCGATAAGCTTTATATTCTGCATAAAATCACAGTACTTTTTGGATAATAAAAGATGTAAACAACTGGTTGTAAAGAATTTTCTTAATACTAAGAGACTATACCCTTTTAATATTTATAAATCATAAGGAAACAGAAAGAAATGGGTGTGGTCTAGTGAACTTTATACAGGGTAATTACGTTTAAAAGTACATGTTAAACATTAATAACGAAAACTTATATTTTTACTTATTAATTAAATACTTGTAGACAAAACTAAGAATATATTATGATATTAAACAATAGAAACAAATAAAGACTAAGACAGTGTACTTAAAGGATAAAATCACATCTTTATATTGATAAACTACTATTAAAAACTGGAAAAACGCCCTACACTTAATGAGTCATTCAGAGTTTATTAAATCAAACTTTCAAACGTCTTAGTAGCATACAAATGGATATCAGCACCAATAGAAGAATATTAAAACAAACATGAAAGATATACATGGATAGAATAAGCAATAAATAATGATCGAATAAACATTTAATATTTAAAAAGTAAACGGTGCTGTCGATATGACTAGTTGATTATCTTTCCTTAAACCGTAACAAGATAGTCAATACCACTGAAATGTACTTAAACAAAAATATCAGTGACAATGAATTTTCAATACGGTTTGTCATATACATTCACAGACGTTTTGGAGCTTAGTCCTCATTTGTTTAGCAATCGAGGCTCAAAAACCAATGACTTCATTTGTATACTACATGATCTAACAATCTCATTCACCATACTTTATCAGTATTACCATATAACATAACCTTGTCAGATTTGTCTTTAAGTTTTCTAGTTTTTATTCAGTAGCTCCCTCATATTATTCTAAGATATATGATCAATTACTTGACATACTAAGATGCTTACTCTCACCTCTCAATCTCAACATAGCATTTAGACTAATCATATTCTTACCCTTACGTTAGTTGATACTTTCCAAACAATACTCCTATATCTAAACTAAGACCTTCTAAGTGATTAGCTAATATGAAATAATGTTACTTCTCTATTATACAAAATGATCTAAAAACGACTAGTTATTACCTAAATTTTCGGGGTATTGGTACAAATCAGTTTCGGGGGTATCATTCTACACTGTTACGAAAATAACTCCTAAACATTCATAGACTGTATGACAGCTTATGTGAACATTTAGACTAAAAACGCAATACCTATATATAAAGAAAAATATCTTTTAGGTGTATGACTGCAGATTGATACAAATATTTATCATAAAAATTTATTTAAATTTTCCCTATCTAAGTACTAATAACTTCTTCAAGTTTCAATAAGAAGAACATATTACCTAGCGATCATTTCGTCTCACTTTTATTCCAACAAAATTAAACCTAATGGACGACCTCCTTGATTATGAACTTTTCTATCAATCATGATTTTCGTTGCAATGTAAGTAAATGAATTTGTTACATACATTAAAATGCTGCACTGATAAGTTGCTTTTATTTTACTGTAACTGCCCGAAAATAAAATATCTTAAGAACTGTATGTTTCACTGAGTCAGCAAATAACATGAGTATTATATAACTAGAGTAAAATAATTGTTCAAGAATATAAGTATATTAAACTGAGAGGCTAAAGAAGAAAAATAACATTCCGAAATACTATCAGTCAGAGATGTTTCCTGCATAGTATTATATAATTCTGAAATAGTACGTTGTTTTGAAATAACCTTTTGCCTTCAATTTGATCCCAGAATAAATCATTAAATTATATTCTGATGAAAACGGGTTACTGAAAGACTAAAAGGTTGTAATAAATGTCCTGAAATCTGCTTGTTTTAGATTTGCTGATTAGTTTCGTGAATAAATTATCACTTCGGCTACCTAAGTTATTTCAATATATTTTATTAATTCAGTTGATTTATTCTTATAAACACTTTCAGGTGACGTTTTTCCATTATAAAGTCATAAATTAAATGACACTAAGTGACCAGTATAGGAAGAGGTTTTGTGAAGACTGATAAATTCTATAGTTTGCATTACAAACTGATTGATAACTAGTGAGTACCAGGAAGCACTGGATAGTTGTTTTATCCTGATACGATAGATTGAGCACTTCTGAGATAGAACCTAGGATTTCAAAGCTTTATAGTTAGCGCTTAATCACTGGTTTCTAAATAAAGTCAGTTTACTATGTCGTACAATAATCATTTGATGTCATTGGTGAGCAACTGCCTATATCTTTACATGGTGATAATGATAGTCCTAAGTAAACATGAATTCCAATCTCATTATTCCCTATTTAATTTATCTTAGTCAATTAGCGTTGAATATGCATGTTTTAAAAACCTTCAGATTCTGTTGCTAAGGGATTGTCTATCTTGTAGCAACTCATTTGATGAGGAAAATTTAAAACTCGTCAAATCTTGATTCTGTTAACTGATGAATAACGTGTAAAACTAGTATTCTACAATCATTTAACTTTCTGAACATAAAAATGTTTCATTTTCCTTAAAGAATTATAACCATTTATTTATTACTTTACTTACGCCTGTTACTCCTAATGTAACATAAGCTGCCGACCAGCATTCTCCAACTCACTCTGTTCTGGACCTTCTTTTCTAGTTCCATTCAATTCTTGTTTATTTTTCTCATGTCTATCTCCATTTCCCGGCATAATTTGTTCTTTGGTCTTCCTCTTTCCTTTGGCCTTGAAAATTCCATGTGAAGGTTTGTCTTGTGACGCAGTTGGGTGCTTTCTTCAATGTGTGTCTTATCCACTTCCAGCGCTTCTTCCTGATTTCTTCCTCCGCTGGGACCTGGTTTGTTCTCTCTCACAGTAGGTTTTTGTTGATAGTGTCCGGCCAACGGATCCGACGTATTTCGCGTAGACAACTGTTAAGACGTCTGTATTTTCTGGATGATGGCCTTCGTAGTTCTCCAGGTTTCTGAACCATACAGTAGAACTGTCTTGACATTTGTATTGAAAATTCTGGCCTTGGTATTGGTTGACAATTGTTTTGAGCTCCAGATGTTCTTCAGTTGTAAATATACTGCTCATGCTTTACCGATCCTCGCTTTCACATCTGCATCAGATCCACCATGTTCATCAATGATGCTGCCCAAATATGTAAAGTTTTTAAATCTTCTAAATCTTCGTCAATTGTGATTGGATTGGTGCAGGCTCTGTTGTATCGGAGAATCGTGCTTTTGCCTTTGTGTATATTGAGACCTACTGCTGCTGAAACTGTTGCTACACTGGTCGTCTCCTCCTAACTCGCTAAAAAAACGCTAACCAGAAAAAAATAATAACCATTTATTGATCAATAATTTATATCTGATGAAATCTATTCATCTGGATATTTGGCATTGATAATTCAATTTACCTAATAAAAAATGTAGGTCAATCATTGATTACATTAATTTGGCTTATCTGTTATAACTGTATACATTAATAAACTATTCTATTCTTCTATTATAAACAACAAGAAAACATGTAATCTATTAACTCTTTTATTGTATTCCATTTAAATAACTAAACACTGATTGATTATTTAACAGTTGTTCTTCACTTTGTAAATCGTTTAAAAGAAAAAGAAACGCAAAATCTTTTCATCAAAATAACTTTCATTGAAACCATTTATATTCATTAGTTTTAAATAATTGTCAAAATAGAAATTAATTTGGAAGAAAATTCAAAATTAATTAAATATGACGTTTCTTTCTTTCATTCTTTCTTCCAAGGAATATCGTTTGTTTTATTGCTCAAAAATATTATTATTATAATTTTATGAAAATTAATGAAATAGATTTTAGTTTGAATTTTCATAATCATTTATCTGATCTACTTATTTTTCTTTTATGTAATTGAAAAAATAACGATATGTAAACGTTAAATAGTTAGGATAGAGATACACGCATTACAGCTATAAATCAAGCAACCATTATCTGTGATAGTGGTGATGGTGGTGGTGGTAATCGTAATACTACTACTAATAATAATAATAATAATATCGATTATAGTAGTGATAATAGTAGTGTTATTATTATATATACTACTCAAAAAGAGAAAAGAAAAACACAATTATTGATTGAGATATTGATAAACATAATAGAAATATCAAGTTGAATAGTAGTTAAATAATTGTTTCCTACCTCTCTCTCTTTATCCTAAAAACCAAGTTATATGAGGAGAAAAAAAACACAAATAGTTATAATGAGCATTAGTGTAAATTGAAAATGTCACAGTTTATTCTCATCAGTTACATTATCAAGTTGGTTTTATTTTTAGAACTTAATGAAATTTAAATCAATTTATTTAATTCATATAACCAAATATATGTGAATTTATTCTAAAAATCCCATAGGAAAATATGAGAGAAGAATAGGATGATTAAAAAAGTATTTCAGTATTGATTAAAGGAATACATTGGATCAATAAATGTGTACAGTTCGTTTATATAACGTACGTAACACAATACTTGTAGATATTCTACTTGAACTATATGTATGGTGAGTATAGACTACTGAAGAGTTTTAAATTTAGATATCAGAGTTTTCCACTGTTCTTTTTTTTGGTTTTAAGTAGTTTTCAAAGTGATATTAGTTTGTGATGGGATTAATTGTTGAGCTATATAAATCTATTGATAAAAACCACCTTAGTAAATAATGGAATTTAATTATTATTCAATACACATATTGGGTTGATCTGAATAAAATAATGTTTTTAAATTGGTAAATACATTTTTAGCTCAAATAAAATTCACTTCCATTTTCAGACTGTTTACTTAAAAGGAATTCAAATGAAAGTTTAAATCTGACTACATAAAGCAAGCCGACACACTCAAATCAATATATTGATTTCAGCTTGACACATTTACTCAATTCAAAAATCTCTTTCACTTTAAACCTACTCATATAAACATCAAAGACCAATAAATCAGGTAAATAGCAACAAAAAGGACAGAAAACTATAATCTACTTCTTAAAATTTAATAACTTTCTCATGGAGTTTATTAAAAATGTTCTTTTTCGAATTGTCATGAAATGATAATGCAGCTCTATCATACTATCATGACACAACAGAAGAATTACAATGAATCCTCGGGTCACACAGAATTAAAACATCATATGAAGCAACGGACAGTCTTCAAAATGCCTTAGTTCAAATAAAAAGTAAGATTCCTATTACTTAGATGTTAATATTGATGCTAGTAAGATCATGGTAATTCAAAAAGGATTTTCCATCAATTAAGAAAGAGGAATGGTTGAAGCGTTTCATATTTCCATAAACCTTACGGCGCTTAACATAACGGACAGCCTGACGACCCATTCACTGCAGGCCATCTACACAAATGTACACACACGGTTAACCCTATTCACATCTCACATCATTAACAAGTATAAAAATGTTTTTAACCTTACTCTTCCACGTTACAAATGCCAGACTTTTTCCACCCACAAACGCACACAATTACAAGTATTTAGGTCTTAAAATAGTCCCGGCACAAATGACATAAGCAAACCTACTTTACTTTTGATCATACTGCAAATATTTCGCTTTCTGTCCTCCATCAAAATCTTAATTTCTATGTGTTCTAATTCCGTTCATTTTACAAACATATCACTAAAGACATCAAATGCTTTTAGTGTAAACTCTCACAATTCATTAATGCAGATTTAAAAAATTTGAAATGGAAAACTGAGTTTCAGCAATTCACTCTAAGATCACATATACTGAATAATCAAAATATCTTAGATCAAATAGTCGTATACTTCTTGCTTCCTTTCCTTCACTGTTTATCCAACTTTAACTTTTTTTTCATTAAAAGTATCCATTCTTAAAAATCAGATATTTATCATTTCTTGATTTCCCTTGTTTGTTTTCTTTTTCTCTCATGACATAAAAGTATCATCATTTTTTCTTATCTCAACTGTTCAGTCTTCAATCCGTATATATATATATATATATATATATATATATATATATATATATATATATATATATATATATATATATATATATATATATATATATATATATATAAAGAAGTTTCATTGTTTTATGCTCAACACATTCTAAGGTCAACTATGGTTATAATACCTAGTTGATATTATTATAACACAAATCAGTTTAATGTTAAGATAACTGTATGTTTTACAATTTCTTTACAAGTGCGAATATCAATAGATGATGTTTGTAAGAAAATCAATAAAGAGATGATGAACTTAATCATTTTTATATTAGTAACTAAATGACAAAGTTAGTTGTTCACTTACTTTTCATTTCTGTTTAGACTTGAATACCATGTAAACAAACTAGAAATCAAACATAAACTTACTGGCAGCCTGCTTGAA